AGTAAAAATCTTTAAATTGTAAATAAATAACATTAATCTGTAAATTTAAAAAAAATCGTCGACTGTACTAATATTTGTTCAGCCTCGTTTGTCGGACGCATGCGCGAGCGATCGTAAACTCGCGATTGAGTGTTGCAAAAAACCCGTTGCTAAGCTATGGTTCTAGAAGCCAGTTAGGGTAACTAAATATTTCAATTTTCAGGGATTTTATTTCTGCCTAAACATTCTTATATCACAACTGTCGGCTGTCGGTGACTGTACTCAAAAAGTTGTTTAGCCTTGTATCGGGCACAGGCGCCGCGCCGATAAGCATTAAACTTGTGATTCAGCTTGTGTTGCAAAAAAACTTGGCCGCTATACCATGTTTATGAAGACGCTAGAGCGACCAAACATTTTTATTTTAAGAAGACCGGTCGTTTTTTTTTTTATTATTTATCTGATATTTTTTTCTAATAACAGCGCAAATGCTTATTGCATTATTTATAAATAATTCCCGTTCGTTTTCTGTATTTACGAATTTGACAGTCGCTTTCGTTCATAGTGATATCATCCTTTGTGTTAGTGTGAGAGGGATGGATAGATATGGACTACATTATTTGGATTACCACAACTATTGTTATAGCCATTTCCTCTGTTTATGTAGGCACATTGAGGATTTCCTTGCCTAAAGTGAACTAAAAAGTGCTCGCCAAAACCTGTTTCAACCAGCTGCTCTGCGCCGCTGAGTGAGCGTGGCCTTAGTCATTTCTCATAACAGTTGTTATCAATGTTATTTATATTATTTTTATTATTTATTATACTATTTTACATGAAAATAACTCTTATTTAACACAAGTCACAATACTCACAATGGTGCCGAAAGAAAAATACATATTTTTTAAGCACATTTTTGTGTCTGCGTAAATTTGTTTAATTTATCTACGGTTTGACATTTATCAATTTAACTACATGTCACCATAACAGTATTTAGGTTACCACGGGGAATCCATTGAAGCTTACAAGTACGAGTATATCGCTATAAATCATAAAACGCTCACACAGTTAAGGATTGGAATACCGCAACCTTGCAATATTTTTTCTTATTTTCGATAAAGGGACCTAAGCGATACAAAAGCAAATGAATTTACGTTAGGTATTCTTGTGTTAAGTAGGTAGGTACACAATTTATTTATTGAGATTGGTGATTTTGCGCTTCATACTTTTTCTGGTTCAGTTTTTGTGGTACTAGTAGTTTCTAACCGAAAAAGTTCAGAATTAGAGAGTTTCACAGATTTATCATCTCTGCAAAAAACATAATGTAACATTTTATTTTTAATTAATAAATTTTATGCATTAACGAACACTGAGATTATTATCTTAATAGCACTGATTTTATTTGAGATACCTATTTTGACAAGCTGCCTATAATCACGAACATCGCAATGCAACAAAAATGGGTTGCCAAGCGAAAGTTTAGCTAAGCCAGCGCGCACGCAACATTGTACGCCTCGTAGATTCATGTTCTTAGCAAAATTATAATTTACATTAGTATAATTTGATATTCTACCATTATTCTATGGACGATTGAAAATGATATTGTATAAGAAAATATAGGATTAACAAAGATTATTTTTATTTTTAGAAAAGTAGGCATCTAGAAGTGTTAACTCACATTAATTTTATTTATTTTTGTCTTTTATTTGTACAAATGAAATGGTAGGTGATCAACTACACAAAGGTTAACAGTCCTAATAACAACTTCTTTGGTATAAAATAGTGCAACCTTTTTTAAATAAAATTTATATCACAATAATTAAAACAATATTTTGTACTTATTATGCAAAAAAATACTGGCATGCAGAATATCAACCGAGGTGTGGCAACCTGCTCACCTGCTATAAAACCTGAGGCAGTCCAGTAGTGGCTGATGCAATAGGGTAAGAGACTTGCGTTATGCTTGTTTATCCTTTCAGGGACAAAGCGAAATGAGACCTAACGCACCAAGATAGAGATGCAAATCTCTTTTACATATCCAAGATTAAGTAATAACGTTTCACAAAGTTAACTTTCGAATTTTATCGCCACAAAAATCAACATAAATTGTTTGAATTTGTTAATATCATGTTACAGATCAAAAGATAAAAATGGTTTTTGTACAAAACAGGGTTTTTAAAGCAACTTTGTTTATTAGATATGTAATATTGTAATATTGAGAAAATCCACATCCAATTAAATGTCATAATACAATATTCAGGAAAGCCTGTTGAGTGAAATAATGAGACATTTAACAAAAAGCCTCTTTAAAAGTTTTTGACGATTTGTAAGAAGTAATTAATTGGTTAAGTCAAAATATTTTTTTTTTATTTTGAATAAAAAATTTAAATATGTATTGACTACTAGCTGACCCGGCGAACTTCGTACCGCCTTAGCGTAGAGATTTTCTTAATATTTTTTTCCGTAAGAACCATCCTTGGACTTCCACAAACATTTAAAAAAAAGAATTATCGAAATCGGTTCAGCCGTTCACACGTGATGCCGTGACAACGCGAAACGGGTTTCATTTTTATATATATAGATATCACGTCTAAAGTACCCACAGATTGCAAATAAAAAAACAGGTAGGTAAGTAAGGGTTATTATAGGATTCAGCTATCACAATATCACTTTATGGAGCACATTTCAATTATAACGAATATTAACTTCAAAATAATGAATTTATTGTATCAGTGAGATCTATATCTATTAGATCAAGTTGGTCACTCTAATAGAAATTCAAATATATTCTAATGTATTACAGACAAGGACAAAGCAAACCAGACATATCTGGATATATCCAGTGTGTCGAAGGCGAATACTGGTATTAGACACCGGGCACTTTAAATTATTCTCTTGGAATTATTTAGGTGCTAGGTATGTTTTAATTTTAGATTATTCTATTTTTATGAGCATCACAGGTTAGATGAGTTCAAAATTGTATGTAGGTAGGTACTATATGACTGTGACTTTGTTATGAACAAAATAAAATGATAAATCTAGTTATAAAACTTTCTGGAAGGTCTTGAATAAATAGAGAAGTTCAAAGCACCAAGATCCGGCATGTGTTTAACATTAATCAATGCTATCGGTAAACAATACCCTTCCAAGTATTATTTTACGGACAGGACGCGCATGCGCGGATACACGTGTAGCAATAAAGATCACGTATTAGCATCTACGCTGTCGAAGGAACCTAACTAATTGGTAACGTTGTAAAGTGAGCAGACGTATTGCTATTGTTGTCGAGTTTGAAAAATAAATAAGGAAAACTATTCACACGTAATGAAGTAAGAACAATGTCAAATTAAAATTGACATTCACTTAAAACTTTTTATTAACTGGATTGTTTTTTCTTCACACTGCAAAAACTGTTAGTTTTATCAGACCTTGGTTCATTATATCATTGAATTTCAATTATTAATCTGATAATTAACTTACATACGTATCGAAGAATTTGTATCCTTAGTAATACTATGTACTATAATTTACGGTAGGGATTTTTTTACCTATCATATAATATCCTAGTAAATCGATATAATGTATAATTTAAAAAAATAAAATAGTTATCTTATTCTCATGTTTCTCTACTACGCACTCATATCTAGTTCGCATATCCGTTGCTATCCATTATCAATATCTGTAAAAACTACTAACACTACTAGATACGTGCCAAAACCTAATACGAGTATTATACGTCGAAGAATATAAATTGACCAATAAGAAACTTTGAAATCTTTCAACATAATCGCATCATTCGCAACGAAAGTCAAACCAGTGGCGACACCACGCAACGATACCGAAGCGTGAAAGGTACGAGACGGCGACGCACCGTGGTATACGTTTTGAAGTCACTTGTTACCACGGTAACAAGTGTTGTTGGTTCTACCACGACCACGACCCGTGATTAATTGATTATTATTATAAGAGTCTTGTCACCGGTGAATAACCTACCAATATGCCTTGAATGATATAATAACCGGATTGACCACATTAGTCAAAAGAACAACTTGCTTTTTTATCGACAGAAACCTAATTGAAATGTAATAAAAATACTAACAAGCATTAAGAAACAATAATAATTAGGCTTAGCTAAATAACAGTGCATCTGAGCCTAACTTTTTAAATAGTCATTTGGTCACCCTACTCTCGTGCAAGCGTCTAAATTCGCGCGACGACATGAGCCTTATTGCGTTGCAATTAGGGTTGCAATAAACGCTGACGCGAATTGTGTCAGAGCGCAAGTGTTATAATTTTTTATCTCTTCCGGAGCCGGTCTATGAATGAATTCGATAAAGTTACTACGATAATGTATCACAGTTTACTACCGATATTGACAATTTGAATCGAGAGTAGCGGTACGACACTTTCCCTCCATTTTTAGAGCACTTAACAACATGCTGGCAAAAAATCTGACAAACTGTCCATGTGATTGAATGAGATCAACAAATTGGGCCGAAAATAGACCTGAATGAATGTGGATATTTATAAAGCAAGAGTGGAACGGCCGTTACATGGCATGACAAGTTAATCATTTTTTTCTAAGCAAATGCTAATTTTTAAACCTATTTTTATATCGCATACACACTTCACAACCTGTTTTGTGAATTCACTGTGTCCAATTTAAATAATCTTGTACAGGAAATGTGTCACTTTTAGTAACCATGCAACAAAAAATGTTTACGATGTCTATTTTTGGAAATTGTGATTATCTCTTCAGACTAAAAGCCTACATCAACTTTTTTTATGGATTATTAAGTTTAATTTAAAATACTCACTTGAAAATCATTTGGTATACAAGTTGTCTTCTTTTGCTTAAAATAGAAAATGAAAATCTATGCTCAACGATACCATAGGAAATGGTGACGGAAAATAACCCAAAATCTCTTGTAAAAATAAGATACATAATACTAATACAAGCTCCTCGTGTCACGTGCTAAGTTAACCCTTAAACATGCTCGATTCAAAAACTAAAAAAAAATACTTACGTGCTTGATGTTGAAATGCAGGATGCTCTCGATGTAGGTGGGCAGCTGGTTGACCACGGTGAAGTATCCGAACACCGAGGCGCCATGGGTGATTATGATGGCCCATACCGGCGCTGACAGTATCAGACTCTTCCAGGGGACTGGCATGTGCTGGTGAACAATAATTATATCATTGAGAACTCATCACCACAAGACACATACACAAGACTTGGAGCGAGATCAAACGCGAAGCTCAAGACCGAACGCAATGGAGGACTGTTGTAGATGCCCTCTGCCCCATCTAGGGGATACCATAAGTCAAGTAATCACCACAACAGTGATTAAACCATTCTTAACGACACAGGCTTATGCCATGCAACAGATGGAGAAGGGGATATTGTGTAATCTGAGTAAATGCCATGTCAAGCGCTTATGACAGCTTCATGAATCAAAATGTATTTTTATTAGGTACAGTCGGCATACTAAAATATTTAAAACTGCAACTGAAAATTAGAATTTCATACAGTCTCGACAGGTCTATAACAATAATATTACTTAGAACATAATTTACTAAATAATTGCTATAATTTTCTTCTTATATGAATGCACGAATCCACAATAGTAATTGCAAGAATCATGTGGATCTAGCAATCACTCGCATTGGATAGACACGTGACGAATTCTGTTCCAATAATTCGAGCCAACGGATTACTAAATTATTAGAATGAAAACGATATTTCATACAAAGTGTTAACAGAATTAAAAAAAACTTAATTGCTTTTAATCTCAATGAGCACAAATGAACATGACATGAATATTTTTTTCTAACTAAAAGTTAAAAAGGACAAATTATGAAATCAATGTAACTATTGCAATAGACTACTTAATTATGTATTAACGCAAATTGTACCAGTTTTACATGTTGTTTTTAAACGTATATATTTATTTATTTATCTAGTAGTTACAACAGCAACAGAAGTGATAAAATTCATTTCCTCCTTGCAAGGTGAATCCAGTAATAACCATAAAGTATTTAGGAATAAATAAGAATTGCATAAATAAAGACATTATTGCCATTGGTCAGAACCAATGGCAATAATGTCTTTATTTATGCAAATGAAATTAATATATCATTGATAAGGTACTAAACGCGATTGTGGACTGTCCCGTAGCGTATTGGACTAGGAAAAATATCGTCATCCTCCTAAAATGTAATACCTTTACTTAATACTTAACCCTTAGTTTGCAATAAAAAATGGCCTAAAGTGCTGTCGTACAATGAATTATCGTGAATTTAAATCCTAATAGGTACAGCTTAACCATACTCCAATCTTCACCCATGTTTTGTTACTGGCTGTATTCCATAGATTTACAAAAGTTCATCATCATCGTCATCATTTCAGCCACAGGACGTCCACTGCTAAACATTAGCTCAATGACTTCCACATCGCACAGTTGGTAGCGGCCCGCATCCAGCGCCTTCCATACCTTCATCAGGTCATCGGTACCTTTACAGGAGTTGCAGTGGTATAAACTTCAAGACTACCTTCTCAATTACTCAAAATTTCTATAAACAACCTTCAATTTATTTATTTTGCAAAACGCAAGATGCGCCTGCGACCTCATTTCGCAACCCATCAAGAACGCGATTTCTTTTTGAATTCGAAGCTTTTGGCAGCGTCTTCAAGGTGATAAGTTGTTTATGCGTGTGGTGCAGTCGCTAGCGAAACATGCAAATCATTTTCCGAATAAAAATACATATTTTGAGTATAGCTTTTATGAGTTGTTTATTTTTATTTTATGTGCTAGCACAGACAACTTTGGACATAAATTACCAATTAGTATTGAATAAAACACAAGTTACTCAGAATGAGTCGATGCCCTTTTACAAAATCAAATTCAACTAGGTATTCAAGCAACAGGATGTAGGTAGGTACCTACTTAACCTACATGCTCGTTACTAAAGTACTTAGATAATTACTTCTAAATACATTGGGTTACGATTTTTAAACATTAACATGATTAATTTGAAGAAAACACCTGGGAAAAAATAGCCTAGGATGTGGACAGATTTTGGCGAAAAAGTGGCGTCATATCTTTGCGATACAAAACCGGTGGGAGAATCTCTTTTTTGCAACTCCAATGTTAATTAGATACTTACTCATAAATATGGTCATTATAGTGATTAGTGTATTATTTCATAAAATATGGTGATTTTCACGACTTTCTCACTCAAAAGACAATGCCGGAAATTGGCGTCTTTTTTTTNCCCCAAATTTGAAGTATTTTCATCGATAAAATTGTCCATAGATTACGCCCTTAAAGTTTGATCACTACATGCCCGGACACACTGTATATTTGAAAGAAGTAGGTTATAACGTCACTGAATATTTAAACCCGTTAGCATTGCAAGAAAGGAGGAAATTACATCAAGCTTTACAAGCCGCTAGAAGAAACGGGCAGCATGCAATAATAAGAAATAACAAATTGATTATAAACGGAAAAGAAGAAACGACCTCCCCACTAGGGATGTTGCGAATATTCGCATCCGCATCCGCATATGCGGAACATTCGCATTGATTTTGACATTCGCATCCGCATCCGCATCCGCATCCGCATAAATCGACGAGGATCTGATGCGGATGCGGATTTGTAGCAGGTCGCGACAAGAAAGAAAGGGGCAGTCCCGGCGAGTGGCGCGCGTCAACCGAATGTGTTGATTGACCAATAGGAAAGCAATGATTTTTGTTTTTGGACCTCAGTGAATCGGTGACGGTGGCGCGTCTTGCTATTGTTTTGTTGTAATTACTAGTGAGTAGTTGTGACAAGTGACAAGAACTGAAGCGTACGTTTGATTTTATTGTGGTTTTTGTTAAGAACTGAACTAACTGTATTGTTTAACGTAATACGTAATACCTTCATTCGTATTACGAACCTTAAGTAAAGTTTTATTTACTATTTGGATAAGTGAACTATGCCAACACCTACGCAAAGTGAAATTTGGACGTATTTCAAACCTGTGGACAACGACCGGGAGAAATCGCAATGTAAAATATGTAACAAAACATATTCGCGAAAGGGCCGAACAACATCGTCATTAATAAATCATTTGAAATCAATGCACGCTAAGGAGTTTGCTTTGTTTGAAAAAGCAAATAACGAAAAGCTACAGAAAATAAAAAATGATGCCGGTAAGTTATATTTTATGCAATATTTTTTTTAACTGAGTTACGAGCATTAGAAGTTTGATGATTTTCATACTAGATTTGCTTTTTGCGCGCAAAGTTTTGTAAGAAATTGCAACAAAATAGTGAGATTGTATGTGTAAACAAACAATATCATCCATTAACGGCTCCAGACATCAGTATGAAACAGAATCAGCGCAATAAAAAAATAGCGCAATATTTTGTTGCAATTTCTTACAAAACTTGCGCACAAAAAGCAAATCTAGTATGAAAATCATCAAACTTCTAATGCTCGTAACTCAGTTCAGACTGAGTTTAGAGGTATACATGCCATAGTAAGTTTGGTTTATTACACTATTTTGTAATCAAAAAACAAAGTTTGGTCGATGGCCGCGCGAAAAATAAAAGACGCCACTTTCCATACAAAATCTGGCATTGCCATTTGATTGAACAGCTGTACAATTTCGATTATTTGATATAACAAAGAAAATGCTAATTGTTAATGTTTCCCCTATCTGACGTGTTCTCTGTGAAACCAAGAAGAATACCGTGTTGCTAATTGCTATGTACAGACGACAGCACATAAGTAAAAACTTGCGTATGTTCTTTGTAATATATGCTATTTTTCTACAAAATTTTAGAAAGTAAGAAAGAAAATACATTTACTTGGCACACTAAAAACAGCAAATTACAGAACGTTAAAAGTGTCGTGCCAAATATAAGCTTCCATGAAAGCGTAGCACCGTTCACGGCGCAGTCTTATGTGCTGTTACCGACTGTAAAGACGGTCATCATTTTTGAATAAAAACCCATTCCCCCGGTTTTATAGAAAGGTGCCAAAGGTCCATGACCTACATGGACGTACTGACTCTTATGACTTACCCCTTTAGTGTTGTTGTCCTGTGGCAGCGCCTTCATAAGGAAGTTCCTCTCAGCCTCCGAGATGCGAGGGTGTTGCGCGGGAGTGTCGTAGACCACCGCGAACCAGGCCACAGACCACATCAAGCCGATTATTCCTGTGGGAGATTATTCAATATTATCATCAGAGAAAACCACTTAAGAATACTTCAAAGGCAGTCTCTCTCTTGATCAGCGTCTTCCACACCTCGATTTTTGCTAATCTAATTACTTTAAAATTTCTAACAGTATGGATTCCCTGTAGGGTGGGTGGGTACTATGGCACATGATGGGTTAAATACAACTTCTTTTAATATTATCACCGTTGTCCATTAAATGAAAACAAATAAACAAATACATTACATGTGAACATTCTCGAACAAATCATTATTTTACTTAGATCTACATATATCCACACTAAGTAGGTAATAATTAGGCACATAATAATTTGCAAACGTTGACAGGAAACATGGAAATTTGACAGCGGAATACCGGAAAGGCATTATCATGTCTTGTCCAAGATCCAAAGGTCGACATGAGATTGACAGCATAATCGAGGATTCAGGATAATATTGTGGTAGTAGCATGATTGTTAGGAACCCTGCAGGCATGGCCTACAAATTAAGATATGCAACACAATGTCATGCCAAGATTGCCAATCGTGGAAGTAAACGCGCAGTGAAGAACGACAGCACAAGGATGTGTCTATCAGAATATAGAGAAGAATTGTGGAGAATCAGTTTCGCGGCACGGTTATGTTTCAAGAGGTCTTAACTTTTAAGTCCATCAGCTAATGACGTGAAGGTCAATATTTATGTATAAATAGGTGCACAGTATACTCGCGCCAATGTTTCTGAAATGATCTTTTGGCGTGCCTCAAGCTTGATCCTTATCGATCTAGCCAAAGATCGCATCAAAAATGCCATTAACATCGCAAATTCTCTCACAAAATCTTGAAGGTCGCCAGTATCGCGACGCTACGTATTAGTTGAATCCCTACGTCATCAACTTTGTTTTGCCAAAAAGAAATTAATTTTGCTATGGTTGCAACTTGGCAACAACATGAAATTCATGTCTGTATAATCATAACTATTTTGGTCCTGCTGATATTAAATAATAGCTTCGATGTGCGATAAAACGCTCAATCAAACTGAGTTTCATCATTTCATGGGCAGCTTCATCTCACATTATTGTCTCAAAGCAGAGTTGAAGTTTAAGTAAAAACAATAACATCCTTACCAGTGAAGTAGAAGGCAGATTCCCAGCCAAAGTGTGCGATGAGAAAACCGCAGATCGGCATAGTAATAGCGGCTCCCAGGGACGATGCTGCAACAAAAATAATTTATAACACGTAATACTTGAAATTATAACAATTTAGACTGGAAACCACTTAGGTAATCGACGCGAAAATGTTCAAGAATGTTGGCTTAATTGGCCTTATTCATCTATAACAGCGGTACCTACTCATTTATCCTACCACAATTTAGTTAAGAAACCTAGGGCCGCACCTACGTAACGCTCATTTATTTACTTAGGTGTTAAAACAATCCCACCAAAAACTTTTCATGTAAAATGTTGCCAAGACGATACCATTTGACTCGCATTGTGAAAAAGTTATCAAATTTCATGCTTCACTTCCTAACTTCACAAACTCTACACCATAGCACAGACTAAGGACCTACAAAATATTTGGCATGGCCAATGAGATTTTGATTCAGCTATCTACTGATAAGCTCTATTTGCCAAATGAGATCTGCGGATTAAGGGTTAAATACATTATTACTGTCCTTAAAATCTTACTTTTCCAGGCTATCAATACAAACGAGATTTTTTGGGTTATGTGAACATTTAATTTTCTGCATTGTCGGCATTTACCCATTTTAGTACCTTGTAGGTACCTACTTGTTGCAAGTGCCAACGCGGCAACGTAGAGTTGCAGTGACGAATACCAAAGGTATGTATTGTGCTTTAGTGCATTGGATACACAATTAATTAATTCTAAAATACTGCAACGCCGGTTGGCACGAGTTACGAGTATAATCGCGTGCGCTGGCTATGGTCGTGAACTTGGCAACGCGCGTCGCGCGCCCGCTGCTCACGTGTCTTGCCAATCCCCCAGATGCCGTCACACAAACATGGTATTGGTATTCAGAGATTCGTTCAGATCTTAAGACAATGTGCATTTTGCACCAGCTCCTCGATAGTTCAAGATAAAACTGGCCCAAAAAAATGGGTGGAAGTTTCGTGCCAGAAAGTATCCATAATAATAATAATAAATAATAATAAATCATTTATTTGCCAGAATACGGTTACAAATGGTTTTAAAAAGAGAAGTTTCCAACATATTCTATCGTACATACGATGTGCAAATATTACAAAAAATACGGTTATGTTTTTAATATTAAAAAGTAGTATCATTATTAATTGAATGTCATGCAAATGTCAGAAAATGATTATGAATTATTGAAATAGCACAAACATATTATTACATTAGATTCATACAATGTCAATGATACACAATGTCATATTTTAAGAAATTTTTAGATGTCAAGTACAAAATGTCAAAAAGATTTTTCTGTCAGGAATTCATTGACTGTGTAATACATCTTTTGTTTTAAGAATTCTAATAAATTATTTCTAAATTTAGTAAATGTCAATGTTTTAATATCTTCGGGTAATTTATTAAATATTTTTATTGCCATACAATACACATTTTTTTTGTTATATTTTTATTTCCTTTGGATAATCGATATTTGAGGTATAGCTGTCTTTTATGAATACAGCAACGCTTCAAACCTTTAGTAAGCCAATTATTTTTCAAAGGTTTATTTTTTACCTTTACTTTTATGATTGGAAAGCATAGATTAAAAAATAGGATGATGATATCATGGAAGTACTTAAATGCTTTGTTAATATCACTTTCCTGAATAACTTCCATAAATGATAGTGCAGATATACAGTCGATAAATTTTTTTACGTTCTCCTTGCACATATCACGCCTATATTCAAACCAAAACTTTATCTTTTTTTTATATTTAGGGTCTGTGTCAAGTTCAAAGGTTATACTTTGCCCCGTTTCATGATCCGACAAACATAAACAATGTATTTTTGAGGTCACGTTAACATTTAAATTACTTGTGATCAGGTCTAAGCAAGCGTTTTTACGGGTAGGAGAATTAATATGATTATTTATATTATAATTACTCAACAGACTTTTTAAATCTTTGCTGTGTTTATTATTTTGCAACATATCTACATTCCAATCTCCGCAAAGTATTATTTTCTTATTGCGTTTTTTTGATAACATGCTAAGAAGAGCCTGAAGCTGTTGGAAAAAGATATCTAATTTAGAATTTGGAGTTCTGTATATGCAGACAATTATAAGATTATATTGTATAATCTCTACTGCACAACATTCAAATGTGTATGGTAATGNAAATGTTTAGAGCCTTGAATAGAGGTTTACAACTATCCAAATAATGTACCCCACAGATTGATCGAATACATTTCTTTTGCACTTTAAAAGCTCTTGGCATATCCACAGAGTTTCCCCATAATATGAGACCATATCGTAGCACAGATCCCACATATCCATGATAAGCCATGACTGCTGCATCTTTAGATGCTACTTGTCTAACTCTGCGGAGGGCGTAAACAAATCTGTCAATTTTGCTAACTATATAGTCAATATGGTCTTTCCAATTACAAAATTGATCTATTTTTAATCCTAAAAACTTTGTCGAATTTATATGTTCTATTTTACGATTGTCACAATATATGTCAAGTAGTTTTATGTCATTGTTGAATTTTGCTTCAAATTTAATATATTTGGTTTTATTAACATTAAGATTCAAATTATTACATTCAAGCCATTTTATTATTTTACATAATTCAGTACTTGCAATACGATCTAACTCTTCTTTATTTTTACATTTAACGGTAAGAGTGGTATCGTCGGCAAAAAGTAAACATCGTTGGTTAGTGACATTTGGCAAGTCATTAATGTACAAAAGAAATAACAACGGTCCTAATACGCTACCCTGGGGAACACCGCATCTATTATAGCAGTATGAAGATGAGTATGTTTTCTTAACATTCTCAGATATTCTTGTGATTTCTACGCACTGTTGACGGTCCGTTAGATAGCTTTCTATCCAGGATAGAGCGTTTCCCCTTATACCATATCTATCCAGTTTGTTAAGTAGCAGCTTATGAGAGACAAAATCAAAAGCTTTGCTCATGTCTAAAAATATGGCTAATGTGTGCATTGCGTCATTTAGATTTTGTGTTACTTCCCTTATCAAATGAAAACAAGCAAGCGTCGTTGAGCTATTCTTACGGAACCCAAACTGTTCATCCTTTAATAGCTTTTCAGATGAAATGAATGTTGTTATCTTATTATGCATAACCTTTTCAAATATTTTAGACAATATAGGTATCAAGGTAATGGGTCGGTAATTACCTAGCTCATCATCAGCACCATTCTTGTAAAGGGGTTTCACAATGGATCGTTTTAGTTCTACCGGAAACCGACCCTGTTCGAGAGAAAGATTTACTAAATAGGCTAAGGGGATCGATACAAATTCAGCACATTTTTTTATGATTTCTGTGTTGATGTTGTCGTAACCTGCAGAATTAGTGTTTCTTAGACCTTTTATTATCTTAAATATATCATTTTCATTAACAGGAGTTAAAAATATGGTATTAGGGTGAAATGGTATATTGTTTAATGCTTGTTTGAGTTGCGTTTCCCTGTCATTTTTATTATTTTTCGTCAATTCTATATAATATTTATTAAATTCGTCACATATATCTTTAGGATTGTCAATTAATTTATTATTGTCAAGTTTTATATTTTGAATGTCTTTTCTAAAGTCTGTATTTTGTGTGTATTTTTTTAGGACATCCCATGATGTTTTGCAAACGTTTTTTGAATTAGCAATATAATGTGTATTTGTATTTTTTTGTGCTTGATGTATACATTTTTTTAGTATTCTAGTGTAGTTTAAGTATCTTTTTTTTGTTATATTTTTATTTCCTTTGGATAATCGATATTTGAGGTATAGCTGTCTTTTATGAATACAGCAACGCTTCAAACCTTTAGTAAGCCAATTATTTTTCAAAGGTTTATTTTTTATCTTTACTTTTATGATTGGAAAGCATAGATTAAAAAATAGGATGATGATATCATGGAAGTACTTAAATGCTTTGTTAATATCACTTTCCTGAATAACTTCCATAAATGATAGTGCAGATATACAGTCGATAAATTTTTTTACGTTCTCCTTGCACATATCACGCCTATATTCAAACCAAAACTTTATCTTTTTTTTATATTTAGGGTCTGTGTCAAGTTCAAAGGTTATACTTTGCCCCGTTTCATGATCCGACAAACATAAACAATGTATTTTTGAGGTCACGTTAACATTTAAATTACTTGTGATCAGGTCTAAGCAAGCGTTTTTACGGGTAGGAGAATTAATATGATTATTTATATTATAATTACTCAACAGACTTTTTAAATCTTTGCTGTGTTTATTATTTTGCAACATATCTACATTCCAATCTCCGCAAAGTATTATTTTCTTATTGCGTTTTTTTGATAACATGCTAAGAAGAGCCTGAAGCTGTTGGAAAAAGATATCTAATTTAGAATTTGGAGTTCTGTATATGCAGACAATTATAAGATTATATTGTATAATCTCTACTGCACAACATTCAAATGTGTATGGTAATGCCTGAGTTATGTCTAAGGTCTTGTACTCTAAATTATTTTTTACTAAAATACAAGTGCCACCACGTCGTTCCCCTCTGCAAAAAGAAGCGACCATTTTAAAGTTACTAATGTTGAGATTTTTCTCAGAGCCTTTTTTGATAAATGTCTCTGAAAGGCAAATAAAATCAACACCATTCAGTTCATTGTTTAGTTCATCCAATGTTACCATAAATAGGTCTTGTTTGCTAAGGATGCTGGCTATATTTTGGTGAAATAGTGTTAGTTTTGTCACCGGAACGAAAAAACTCAATGTCATTATTTTGGTTATTCTTTTTCATTATTTTTTATATTGTAACGAATGTAGGTACTTTACACCAAAACCGTACTAAAAAACTGAGGGTTACACCACTTTTGCGCTGATAGCCTCAAAATACTCGTATTAAAAAGTGTAGATTAGTGTCTCTACTTATGACATTTGTATCTTGTATTTTAAAATATTTGCATGAATTGAGATAATTATTATCTTTCTTATTTTAGTAGTTTTTCTAACTTATTTAAAGGTATATAAGTAGGTACCTAGATACTACACAGTTTATATGGTAATTTGTTTGTTTCAACTGAAATGTTTTA